AGGCCGGCTGCTGCTGAGGGTGGGGGCGGGGGGGGAGTAGCCGCTGCTGCCACAGCTGCTCATGCTGCTCCTCCGCACCGCAGACACGATCTTGATCTCCTTGCTGTATAGTGCGGGCGGCACGGGGGGGGGGGGGGGTTCTAGCGCTTTGACGCTTTTGTTTCTTTTTTTTTTTTGGGGGGGGGGGGGGGGGCGGCTGGGGATGAACCCAGGGCATCACATACTAAGCATGATCTGCCACTGAGCTACACCCTCAGCTTCCAGCTGAACTTCTGAGACCTCATAGTTTACCCCTAAATACACCTGGACTAGAACCACCATCTGGTCCCCCAGCAAATATTTGAAAATGAGGAGTCCTAGACATGCATTGCCATCTACATGCTTGATCTCTGACGTGTCAAATGTGTCCCTATCACCACCACACTCCCATTTTGATTCTCAGGGGTCTAGTTCCTCTGAACTCTTCCCTAAATTCCCCCTCCACACCAAAACTAGGGGCTCCTCCACCACATCTCTCTGCCCTTTGGGTGGCAGCTTCCTCTCTCAGACCCTCCATAGAGTTTCAGAGGTTAGCAGAGGTGTCTGGCCACACAACCCCTGTCTTGGGGGCCAGGAAAAGGGGTTGCTTGGGGTCAGGTTCCCCTTCCTAAGAACTTCCACATTGTCTAGAGGAAGGAGTCCACAGGGGCTGCACTGAGTCCTAGCTTTCAAGTGAGAGGAAAAAAACAAACCCCAGATGAGAGCCACTTGAGAAATGAGAGTTGGAGACAGCGAGGGGACTCCAGGGGTTCTGGGAAAGAGAAAAGAGGTGTTGGAGGCTGGGGGAACCCCACAAGGAGAAACTGCTTCTTTCTCCACCTGTGATTGGTTCTCAGACTCAAACCAAACTCCAAACCTGCCCAGCAACAGCCTTAAGAGGCTAAAGAGGGAGGGGAAGGGCTGGCCAGTCAGCTGAGCTGCGCCTCCACCCAGCTTGCAGCCTGTTTCCAGGAACTGTGGGGAGCGCTGGGGTTCTGCACTGCACCTCCTCCCCTCCAGACTCCACTTTCAGCCTCCGGCATCTGCAGACTGGCTTAGGTCCCATTTCCTTGGTTCCTCGCCTGTTTGACTCCCCTTACAGGTCCATGGGGAACCCACCTGACATCTCTTTAGACTGGACTGTCCCTTTCCTTGACCCTTTTCTTCACTCCTGCCCTGGCTGAAGTCTGTTTCATTTTCCTTCCCTCCCGTCACTCTTTTTGCCTCCTTCCTCATCCAGTCTCCTTCCAAGATGCCCAAATTCTTCCTTCTCAGCCACATCCAGCCCAGGGAAGGCCTGAGTCCCAGGGTGGCACTGTGAGGGGAGGAAGACTGCTAGAGAAACCCTGTCCCCCAGGCAGCTCTGGTGTCCTTCACTGGACCCAGTCATGGGGTTAGACTGTTTCTTCAGGCCCTTTAGCCATGGTCTTAGCCAGCCCCCAGGCAGAGGGGAGGCAGATATGGGAAGGTGTAGTTGCCCCTCAATGGAGGGGCAACTACTCCTGTCACCCGTTGGGAAATCTGGTCTCCATAAGTAAGGAACTCAGGTGTCAGAACTGCAGGGTCACACCACCTCACAAAGTTATTTACCTTGAGAAAAAAAAAATGGAGGGGGTGGGGGAGCAGAGGGAGGAGACTAGGGTGAGACACTTCTGAAGAATGTGTCCTTGGCAGGACATTCAGTACTGTGGGCGCTCCCTCACCCAGCCCCAGGGCCCTTAAAGGCAGGCCAGGCTCCTCCTCCTCTAATCATTTCCTCTTCAAGGGACAGGGGGCCAGAAATCATGCCCCCACCCCCACAAAAAGCAATAAACCAAGAGCTTAACAGGAAAATTGCTAATAACAGAAAAGAAGGGGAGGCAGAAAAACGGCCAAAGAGAAGAGGAAAACAGCCCCAAAAGGCCAGCCATTCAGCTCAGCCTCACTGAAAAAAGTACTACTGTGTTCCCAGACTTTACAGAGAGAGCCTCCCAGGAACCCCCATAGCTCAGGAGCCAAGATCCCAACTTCACATCTAAACTGGGAGAAGTGGTGACTCCTAGTGGCCAGTGAGTGACCTGCAAGACTGGGGCTGGCCAGGATCCTCTCCCTTTGACCCAGGCACGTTTTTTTTTTTTTGTTTTGATATTGGGGATTGAACCCAGGAGTGCTTAACCACGGAGCCACATCCCCAGCAGCCCTCCACTTTTTACGCATTTTTGTTTTTAAAGAGAGAGGGAGAGAATTTTAATATTTATTTTTTAGTATTTGGCGGACACAACATCTTTGTTTGTATGTGGTGCTGAGGATCGAACCGTGAGCGCGCTATCGCTTGAGCCACATCCCCAGCCCTTTGTGCATTTTTTTAAACCTTTATTTATTTTTAAGTGGTGCTGAGGATGGAACCTGAGTACCCTTCCTACCTTCAATTCTGACCTCACACTGCTTAGGTGGCTCAGATGGCTGTGTTCCCACAAGGATGATGAAAGGCATATTTCTTACTTGTCATAATCAACTTTAATAAAAAATAAATTAGTTCTGGGGAAGGAACTATTTTAGGAGGTGGGAAGTGGGGACAGAGGCTAGAGTGTCTTATGGTAACATTTCTTTCTTCCACCCTCTGCCCAACTGGTCCCTGTTCCAAGAGGCAATCCTTTGTGGGTAAAGCAGGATTGATATGGCTGACCTCCCACCCTTAGCTAAGTAGGGAGAAAGAAATAGAGTCTGGGTAAGGGGAAATGGGATCAAAGACAAAAGGGTGGTTCATTTTTAATTTCTGGAGTACTGGGGATGGAACCTAGTACTTGTCTTGGGCATGCTAGGCCAGTGCCCTACAACTGAGCTCCACCCCCAGTCCAGAAGGATGGTTGAGAAGATGTGAGGCCTGAACATAAGAGATGAGGTTTAGGGCACAAAATTGTGTTTGATGGAGAAGCCACACTTTTTAAGTAGCTCAGATTAGTAAGGAACTGCAAACTTGCTTTTCTCTCAGCTTAGAAAAGTCTCAGGGAAACAAGTATTGTCCCCTCCCCACTCCTTATCAATTTAAATAATTTCTTTTTGGGAAGTGACACACAGGTAAGGGGGTGCACACCCCTGCAGGCCCAGATACACATCTGGGGACATCTGTGCACACACACCATCATACCACATATACAGACCCAGTCACACCTCTCGATAGTCCCCTTCAGTCACTTTGCCCCTGTAGTCATCCTGGAGGACACCCTGGTGAGACTGAGGCAGTCTAGAGAACCAGGGAGTACAAAGTGGGTTGACTGATGAGACCAGTGATGGCATCAGAAACATAAGGAGAGAGTGTCCTGGAACCATTTCAGGCAGGCTCCAGGGGGCTCCGCTCCAGGACATGGGCACAAGAGCGGCAACAGGTGGCTGTGTAGTAGGGGTAGACGCAGAGCCGAGCCTGTACCACCAGGGGGCAATGTGGAGAGCTGTCCTTGCACTGATCATCTGAGGACAGAGGAGGCCAACAGGTACAAAGGTTCATCCATCCGGAGCTGTACTCCCCTCCCACTGGTCCCCTCTCTCCTCCACCTAGACTTCAGCTAACTCCACTCTGTTGGGGGTTGGGGAGAGGGGGCACTTTACCAGGGCGCTGGTTGCAGGGTTGGCTGTTACAGGGTCGTTTCCTGGAGGGTCGCAGGTGTGGAGGGCATCGAGTGCTGAGGGTCTGGTTGGCACTCAGGCATTGGATCTCTCTTGTCTGTGTGCCCCCCTGGCAGGAGCGAGAACACTAGGAAGAACACAGCTGTCATATCAGACTTTTGCTGACCCCAGGGTTCCTCTTTAACCCCAGGCTACCACCTCCTTCTCTGAAAGGTAGTGATGGTACATTATCTGGGGACATTATGAAATCCCAAGTGGAGAAGGCCCACCTGTCCTCTAAGTCTATAGAAAATAGGACAATGTGAAACCTCAGCTGGGCTTGTCCTGGGGCTCAGAGACTTGGGGTGGGGCATGCAGTGTGATGAGCACTCCCCCTTCTCTGGAGGCCCAGGCTGAGCAGGGCAGGGAACCAGGCACTCACCGGACTCCAGGGAGTAGCAAACCATTGGTCTTGGCAAAGCTGACCCTGACAGGGCTGCAGAGCAGGGGGCCTGGGGAGGTGGGAACAGTTGCTAGGAGAAGTCACATTGAACTCAGTCCCCAGTTTGGACACACAGATGACATCTCTACGCTGTGTGCCAGAGCCACATTCTGAGGAGCACTGATATAGGGGAAGGGAAAACAGAAATCATTCCCAACTGGGGATGTGAACTCCTGCTGGGACTGTAATCCCCGCTCTGTCCCCCTCCCAGACCCTCAGCTCACCTCCCCCCAGGGCCCTGTGTACCAACACCTGGTGATCTCACAGGGCCCCAAGCTGCAGGCACGCATGTCAGGAGGGCGGCTTCCTGGTGGGCAGCTCTGCTCACTGGTTCCTGTTCCTGCTTCCTCTGGCCCTGCCCTAAGCATCTCCCCACTCCTGAGACAGACCACAGAACGTCTCTGGATCCCTGTCCCACACTCAGCTGAGCACTGTTGAGAAGTAGAGTGTCCTATATGAAGGGAGGCTGCTGGTGACTGGAACAGGAAGGAGGGGGCTTTGGGATGGAAGCATCCTGGGTCCTGTTCCCAGAGGTTTGGCAATGCCCCAGAGGTACCAGCTGGGCAAGGGTAATGACAGTTGCATGTCCAGAACTCTGACATAAGTTTTTCCTCACTTATTTCTGAGTTCCCAGAATAAAGCACATAATAGGTATTTTTTCAATAAATGCATTTTGAGCTGTGTTGAGAAGACTGATAGGATGGACTGAGTGCGGTCACCAGGGATACAGGACTTGGTTAAGGGGCTGTGGGGCCCACCTTGGAACTCCATTCACTGTGGAACCAGGCTGTGGTACAGGGCCCCATGTCACAGGCCTCTCTGCTGGGGGGCTGGGGGGGGCCCGAAGCACACTCCTGCTCATGCACTTCCTTGCCGTTGTTTCCAACACAGCGAACTTGCCTGCTCCTCTGACCTCGGCCACACCGGACAGAACACTTGAGGGGGTGAGGGGGAATCCATGAACCAGGATCTGCCTTTGATAGCCACCCCTACCCAGTGGGTACAAGCTTTTGTGGGTTGAGGAGGAGGTTGAGCATGGGGCTCCAGGCCTCCAGTCTCTGGTTCTTCTCTTATATGACATATATTAGGATTTCATATGAGATCCTGTTTGTAAAAAGTTTCTGCAGATGAAGAAGGAAGTGGAAAAAATACTAATCTAGTTCACTGATGTCCAATTCTCCGGGTCTTCCTTGCATAGGCCCACTTACCTGGCTCCAGGCAGAGCCCACCTCCCAATGGCCACAGAGGCGCAACTGACAGGGCTGGGTCACGTTGGGCCTGGGAAGATGTGCACATCGTTCCGGAGGCACAGAGGAGCCACCTGCCCCAAACTCTTGCCGGCAGTGCAGCTGGCGGTGCTGGGTGCCTGGGCCACAGGAGCGACTACAGGATGTCCACTCACCAGTCTCCCAACTGTGGGCACAGGCAGGGCAGGGGAGAGGGAGAGACAGGGACCAGAGGTGTGGGGTTGCCATGTGCAAGGAGAAGAAACGTACTGGGCATGGGGCCCCACGGAGGAGAGTGGGCACCTCTAGCATTTGGAGTCTGGTTCCTTGTGGCAACTTAGACTGCCACTGCGGGGTTTCCTTGCTGTCTATGGGGTGTCAGTCATTCTAATCTTTTCTTTCTTTCTTTTCTTTTTTTTTTTTTGAATTTTTTTTTAGTTGTTGATGGACCTTTATTTTATTAATTTATTTTTATGTGGTGCTGAGTATCAAATCCAGTGCCTCACTCATGCTAGGCAAATGCTGTACCACTGAGCCCCAGCCCCAGCCCCAATCTTTTCTTTTCCTTTTTTGGGTATAGGGGATTGAATCCAGAGGGCTTTACCATTGAGCTACATCCTTAGCCCTTTTTATTTTTTACGGCAGGGACAGGGTCTTGCTAAGTTGCTTAGGGTCTCACTAAGTGCTGAGGCTGGCCTTGAACTTGTGATCCTCCTTCTTCGGCCTCCCATCGTTGGAATTATAGGCATGTGCCACCCCATTTGGCAAAAGGAATTGGATGTTTGCCAGTTAATTTCTCTTGCCTCTTTTGATTTCTGTTTTTTCTTTTTCCCCCTTGCTGCTGGTGATCAAACCTAGGGCCTGACCCAGGCTAAGCAAGTGCTCTACCACTGAGCCACATCCCCAGTTATCTCAACCATTCTAATCTAGTATTGATTGTCTCTTTGTAGCCAGGAAATGTCAAGTTGAATGCACAGTCCAGGTAAGATCCTGTGAGTGAGGAGCAAGTCCAGGAGCAATTTCTGTGTTTCTAGTATCCTGACCCTCCTGTGGGCTCTACTCACTATGGAGGACACGGCGGGTTGTGGCAGGGTTCAGGGTTGGCTGGAGGCCTGGCACCCATGGCACAGTTGTGTTCATCCAGCTCCTCTCCTGACTCTCGAGAAATGCACAGGAAAATGGGGCGCCAAACACCTGAAGGGGAGGAAAGGGTAGTCAGGGGAAGCAGGATGGTTTAAACCCAGTTTCCATGGGGTCCCAGGTCCCAGGTCAAGGTGTGGACCCACGATCTAGGATATGCAGTTGGGAGCGTCGAGTTGGGCATCTGGACTGAAATGTCAGGAACATAGGTCTGAAGTCACCTTCTCCACAGGACGCTGAGCACTTGGAGTGTCCCACTTGTTTCCAGTATCCAGCTGGAGACCCCAGGGGTGTCCTGAGATGGGCAGGGGCAGGCATCTGGGGGATCCGTACCTGGCGCTGGAGGGTGCCTGGGGTCCGGACTGGGCGGGGTGCTGAAGCAGCTGGGGGCTCCCCCCTCAGCCTCTCTGTGCAGGGGAGTTGAGAAGGCAGATCAGATGCCTCCTACCACCTGGAGCTCCTCTCGCTTCTCCGCTCCTCCTGGGTCTGGGGGTCAATGGAGTCTTACCAGGCTGAACCCGATGGATGGGAGACTCCGCAGTGGCGCTCTGGGGGACTGGAGGTGGTGAAGCGAGGACATACTGATAAAAGACTCCAGGGTTATCCTCCTGAAAGATCATCTGGGGGGGAGAGGAGGTGATAAGGGGGGGTGTGGGGTCCTCCCACGGGACCCCTGTGGCTCTGCTCTTAGAGGACAGGCCTTCCTCTCGGCCCCGGCTCACATAGACATCCACAGGCTGGGTTGTGGGGCCGTCAGCTGACAGACTCTCTGCCTTTCCCTCCTCCCGAGGAGGACGGTTATACTGGAAGACAGTTCCACCGGCTGTGTAGGACCCAGGGGGATCCACAGCCCAGTTCCCATTGATGATGGACCTGCCCCCAGGGCCACGAAGAGCTGAAAGGGAGAGATCCGGAACTTGGAGGTTAGTCATTCTGTCCTCCTCCCCACGCCACGACTTCCTGACCCTTCCGTGCATCCCACCCAGCGCTTAAGATACCCTAAGCCATCTCGGCTTCCTCATTTCCCCAGAAAGAGGGGGAACTTCTCCCTGTTTGGCTTGTGTGTCCTGCTGAATAGGAGCCTGGGAAGCAGAACCGAGAGACCAGAGGGAGGTGGGGCAGGACGGGGGCCAGGTGCTCACCAAGGTAGTTGGAGCTGGGCCGGTGCTGGGCAATCTGAAGCTGGGAGGCGCCCGCGGGAATCCAGAGGATCTTCTGATAGCCCAGAGGGCCCCCTCGGTCCGTGAGGTTCCCCGAAATGAGGCGACAGGTAGAACCGTCACCCCCACAGACTCCACAGCCATCTGGATGCTTGCCAGACCCGAGGATGCCATCACAGCCAGGGCTCTGGGAAGAGTGAGGTGAGGCAGGGTCACATGGAAACCAGATGCCCCCTTGCTCACCCTGGTCCACGCGGGGCCCTCAGCTCGTCACCAGCCCCAGCGCCCCGGCCACGCTCGGGGATGTGGGGAGAGCCTGGCAAGAGCCCTGCGCAGCGTGGCAGGCCAGAGCTTCCCCTGGGGGAGTCTGTTACTTTGCGGTTGTAACGATGACTGAAAGAGACTCTGTGCACATGCACACCCTGTCCTCCCTCACCAGACAGCGTCCGGCCACACAGATGTCGGGGGCTCCAGGCTGACACAGGGTCCCATCCTGGACCTTTTCAGTGTGACGGACGTAGAAACGGAAGCCGCGGGGCCGGCAGTTCAGCTCACAGCGTTGGGATCCCTGAACTAGAAGGCAAGGTGGAAGGTTGGTTAGCCAGGTCCCTGGTGAGAGACCAAGAGTGAAAGAGCCCCGAGTCCTGACAGCAGCTTTACTGATGTCACCTAGGGACATCTTGAGGTGAACTGGTGTGACTGAAGGAAACATAACAGTCCCACACATTGAAAGACGGGTGAGAGGGCTGGGGACATAGCTCAGTAGGTAGAGTGCTTTCCCTGCATGCACAAGGCCCTGGGTTCAATCCCCAGCACCACCAAAAAAAAAAAAAAAAAAAAAGAAAAGAAAAGAAAAAAAGACTGGTGAGAGCCTGGCATGTCAGGAGGTGAGGCAAGAGACTCGCAGCTTTGAAGCCAGCCCCAGCAACTCAGCCACGCTGTAAGAACCCAGTGAGACCTGTCTCAAAATTAAAAAAAATAAAAAAAAAAAAAAAGACTGCTGATGTGGCTCAGTGGCTTAGCACCCTTGGTACCAAAAACAGAAGAAAGAAAAAAAAGAAGAAATGTTGATCAGGTCAATAGAGGCCATGAGACCATCAAGGTTTGCTTCTTGTTTGAAATGGGGTTTCTCTATATTGTTCAGGATGGTCTCAAAGTCCTGAGCTTAAGTCATCCTCCTGCCTCTGCCTTCTAAGTAGCTGGGACTACAGGTGCTTGTCACTGCCCCTGGCCATTACGGGACTTCTACCACCTATGATTACATAAGTTCAAAGCTTATAAGGGTTGTCTCGGTGCAACTGAAACCACCAGGAGCCGTGGCACCTCTGCTCCTACTGTGACGTCTGGACAGGACCTCCCGTGTCACATCAACTTCCCACCTCTTAGGATGGACATATTCCCAGAGGAAGCTAACCAAAGGACACTTCTGGATACCTCCCTCTCCCAGCCTGACACCTTTGCTGACCACCTGTCACCATCTGACATCTAAAGTCCCCTCCCCTTTCCAGAGCTGGGCTGAATCTCTCTGGCCCAGCTCAGGGGAGTAAGAAGGTATGACAGAAGAGAAAGAGAGGGCCTGCGTGGGGAAACATGGGGCCCAGAGTGAGGGGGGCCCTCCCTCCATCACGCCCACCTGCTCTCCGGCAGCTAGCACCTCACCTTCAGTGAAGGGCTCCCACTGGTACAGCTGACCCATGAATTCCTGGGAGTCAAAGGCTGCGCACTGTAGGGCCCGGGGATCTGGCTGCTCAGGTGGGCAGGGCTGAGGTGGGGGGACACAAAAGAGAACCGGGAAGGGATACTTGGGTGTGGGCCAGGGCTGGATCTGGGGAGTTGGGGAGGGTCAGGTCTATGAAAGAGCCTCTAACCCCCTCCCTGAGATCAGATGCCAGAACCCTTCTCCTTTAGGTCCAGGTCAGACAAGGACCCAGGCTCAGTGTTAGGGAACCAGATTGGAATTCTGGGCTAGGGAGACAAGGCCCAGGGAAGGACTCACCCCTTGGCTGCAGGCTCTCAGCTGCTCAGTCTCCCCAGAGCATCTTGGGACAGGGCTGCTAGGAGCAAAGAGGCTCCAGAGGGAGCTGGAGTGGGGTCCAGCATTCAGCAGAGGCAACCAGCCATCTGGTGGGTGAGGGGCAGGCTCCCTGCGGGACCCATAAGGGTTTCCCCCAGGTCTCCAATGCCTTTGTCTCTGCTGACCTTGTCCCCGAGGGACAGAAGGGAAAGGGTCAAGGCGGCTTCCTGCTCCCCAGGGACTGGCCCATCCCTGAGAATGTGGCATTCTTGGTTGAGAAGACATGTGGAAAGAGCCACTTTCTCCCAAGGAAGGGGAAGGTGAGGGAGACCCTGTGCTAGAGGTTTGGGCTATGGGGTGAGGCTGTGTGGGGACAGGACTGGTTCTTGGGGGCACCTCGTTCTGAGCAGCTTCAGACTTTGGGGGTTCTTCTGGGAGGGATGGGATAGGGGCAGATGGTTCTGAAGGAGGGAGCTGAGTCTGGGAGCCAGAGTTTGCAGAGGATGGCTCTGCCCTGGGACTCAGGGATGGAAAGTGTCCTTCCCTTCCAGAAGAGGTCTGGGGAAGTTCAGATCTGGAGGACCTCGGGGGGTGCCTGCGGCTCCTGTGCAGTGGCAAGGCAAAGGGCACTCTTCCATAGCCGAACATTCCTGGCTTGATGGGGTCTCGAACCCGGGACCTGAAGAGTGTTGCAGACATGGGGTCACAGCTCTGTCCATCACTGACCTGTCTCTCCAGCCTACTTCTTGGCACCAAAGACCAACCTCCTAGACCACAGTGTCCTCTACTACCCTTTTCCTCACCAAGCCCCAACCCCTTTACCCGAGGCCCACCCCTGTCCTCCTAGCCTTACCTCTGTGGCCCCTGAGCTTCCTGGGTCTCTTCTTTCCCTAGCTGGGAAGCAGGACCTCGAAGGGGGCCACCCCTTCCCTGAGGCGGTGGCCTGTACAGGGAGTGGGTTTCTCGGGAAGTCTGGGGTCTAGGGCCTTGACCCCGGGGTCGAAGGGCTTCTGGGTGTCTTGGGGGTCTGGGAGGGAAGGGCAGGCCTGGGCGGAGCTGACATGTCCGGCTTCTGCGCTGCACCCCCACCCCACAGGGCTGGGAGCAAGAGGCCCACTGGTCCCAAGATCCCCAGACACCCTCAGGGCCCCGGCCCTCCTCTGGGGGTGTCTGAGGAGACAACACCTACACAGAGAAAAAGGGCAGAGAGAATTAGAGTGACCTGAGGGAGACCCTCCAGGTACCTAGTCCAGGCCTGGAGCTAGGCAGTTGTTACTGGCTGAAGGTCAACATCAGAGGCGACCTTAGCCTTTGGTGTCCTTGTCAAGCGTTAGGGAGTTAGCCAGGGAGTTGAGGGGGCCAAGCATGAGGGAAGGGGACCACAGCTCAGCAGAAGGTGTGGGAAATGGAGACTTGGCCTAGGGAGGCAGCCTGGGAGGCTAGGGGAGATGGAAAGACCCCAGGCAGGGGCTGGTGGCCGCCCACTTGCCCAGAGCTCACCTCCTGGTCCAGGCAGAGCTGAGGGAGGGACAGAAGCAGCATAAGACACAGGCGAGGCCTGCAAACCAAAGGCCAGGATGCACCAGCGGAGCCAGAGGTGTTGCGACACTGCCCGCCCCTCCCCCCCAGCAATTCCCACTTCTGCCAACTTCTCAGAAAGCAGAAGTTTCTCCTCAATTTCCTGGACCCTCCCAGTGACCCTTCCACCCACATCCATGGATGAGCCTTCCCTCCTCCTCTTACCTGCCCACCCACTTCTCCATCTCTCCACCCAGCACTGCCCCTGGGCAAGGGAGGGGGGGACAGGCCAGGATCCCTACTCAGGCATCAGGGCGTGGAGACTGCGCTCTGCAGGGACAGAAGCCGGTGGTTACCTCTTCAGCCAGCTGGAGGGCTGAGAGAGGTGACTCCTCAGAAGGACATCTCGGGAGCAGGGGTTTGATCTGAGGGTGGGAGCAGGAAGGAATGCTGCCTTCTCCATCTGCTGAAGCTTCAGGGTGGGGGTCTGACCTCAGCCTCCCAACTCAGCTTGGTCCCCTCCCCTTGGCCCTGTAGGGACTTCTCAGCTCCTCCCTAAGTCCCGGAGGAGGGGTGTGGGGGGCAGTGCAGGCCCAGAAGCTGTTCCAGGGGCTGTTTTATCTGGCCGGCTCCTGCCCTCCGGGGCTCCTTGGGAAGGTGGGCAGCAGGCTGGGCAGGACATCAGACACCCCCTCTGTTTCCTACCTGACTCCGGCCTTTTCTTCCCTTACCAAGCTGCTTTATGGATGGAACAGGCCCATCTCAGCCTGTCTCTGACGCTTTTGGCCAAGGAATAAACTAAGTGGGTTGAAGGCTTCATCTCTAGAGAAGAGGGTGATTTAACTCCCCTCCATGCCAGCATCCATTCAGCATGGGCTCTGGGGGGCCTTATTCATGCAGTTATTTTTCTCTTGGGGCACAGCTGTAATGGCTGGGGAAACCTGGGAAGGACAGCCATGCAGCCAGAGCTGCCCTTGGTGCCCAGTCACAGCCCTTTCATTCTGGAATGCTGGGAAGTGCATTCTGGAGTTTAGCTCTGAAAACTGGGGAAGTAGGGCTTGGTCAAAGCCTGACTCACCCACCCATGCCCTCCAGTCCCTTCCTTCTCACCAGGAACCCTTCCCACCCCCAACCCCATCCTGTCTTAGTCCTGCTTTCCAGGAAAAAAAAGCACTGTTTCTGTTGGATCTGAAAGGCACCCGTTGAAGAATCCAAGGAGGCCGAGCCAGCTTAGGGGCAGGAAAATGCAGAGGGAAGGGTAGGAATGTGCTTGGGGGTAGCACCACTCAGCTCCAGCCTCTCTGTTGGACCCCAGGACTCAGAGTTGGAGGGAGGGATCAAAGTGGCTGAGCCACAGGGCAGGGCCACCTCAGCTGCTTGGAGCTGGAGAGGGGGTTGATGGTGGCCTCTCTTTCCCCTGGCTGGGCTGGCCACTGAGGTCAGCAACTCCGCCCTGATGGGAGGGGGAGATAGGGTTCCAGAGAAGGACCCACATTCCAACCCAACTCTCAGCCCTCTGCCTGGATGTTACTTGGGGATGAAGGGAAGCAGAGACAGGGTCACTGCCTGCTCCACTCCCCTCTCCTGGGCTCCCCTCGACTCCCCGGGGTCTATTCTTGCTGCTTCTCTTCACAGGTCTACCCAGTACACATAATCCTGTCCTGAGCTGGCTTTGGCAGTTCCCTGGAGAAGTGAGGGGTGGGGGTGACTGACGTGAGCTCCTGGGGTGGGGCCAGGCCTGGCTCCCTCTCTGGAAAAGTCTCACCCCACCCTCCCCTGCACAGCTGGGCAGGGGGCCGATACCCTCTGCTCTGTGGAAACAGACACACATTTGTGCTTTCCCCTCTTTTCATGTCCCTCATCTGGTGTCTCTCTCTGACCAAGGTGAGGAAAGTAGAGGTCAGAACTGGTCACTCTGGTACCAGGCTGGACCCTGCTCAGGACAAACCTGGGCTCCTTCTGGCCACACCTCCCACTCTGGCCAGTAGAGATCAAGGAGAGCGACTGCCGCAGATCTAATCCCTTCTCCAACACCCAAGGGACTCTAGGAAATGGGCCACTGCTGGTGGGTGGGGGCTAGATAGTGTGGTTCTGGGCTGGCGGTGGAGAGTCCCTGTCCTGAGTCAGAATTCCTCTCCTGGGGCCTGGAGGACTATCCAACAGGTGTCTGTCCTTTGGGTCAACCTCCTGCGCCATCAGGTTGAGCTGTATCAAAGGCACTCACTTGCATCCCTGTCAGCGACCCTGTCCCTCAATTCCAGGAGTGAAAGTGTCTGTCGGGGGTGGGGAGGGAGGACATGCCCTCGAAAAGCATCCCCCTGGAGGAGGGAGGCAGAGGCGCCAGCGCGTGCAGGGAGGTCTTGGGAATGTTTTCCAACTTTACTATGTGCCTGGTAGGAAGTCTGGCTCATTGGCCGCCCGGAGGATGGGGCCAGAGTACCGGCGGATCAGACCCCCCTCCCCAGGAATTCAACCCCAGGGGCTGGAGGATGGTCCGGGGTCGTGGTGGGGGCGCGACCGCTCAGCTCGGGGAGCGGCGGCGGCGCGGGTGGCGG